TGGTTTATGCGTTTCCAGGAAAGTGAGATGGATTATGGGGCGTTTTATGGAAAATAATGACCATGGTGATGTTATTGGTTAAGAATTTGAAAGGGCTTTTGGAATGGGGGACTTGATTCCGAGTGTCCAAGGTTTTAAAGAATTTGTCGGAACATTTCGGAGGAGTAATTTCCCGTTCGGAATAAGAGTCAAACAGAAGGTATGAGTTTCATTATAAATGTTCGTATTTGTGAAATTTCATAACCAGAATTTTCGTAAATGACTGTACAGAATATTGAACCTGTTATTAACAGATCAGAAAGACGATCAAACATCCGCATTTATTTTTCGACCCAGATAACATACAAACGAGCAGACGATTTTACGGCATCGTTTTATTTATTTTAATACAAGTCTAAGTAAATGTGGTACTATATTTTAAATATTGAATCTCGAGGCTGTTCAATTATTTGTTCGTTGTCTACAATTTTAGCTCTTACAGGATGGCAGAAAATGCTGCTTGGGAAAGAAGGACAAAAAATTGTGCTTAAATTGTACAAAGATGCGGCAATGCCAAGTATGGATGAGAATGCTAGAATATGGAAAAAATATATAAAAAAGCAGAATATCAGTAAATGCGTGTTTTATCTGAGAACAGTGGCTAAATACCTAACCATGAGTACAGGACAGACATAAGAAAGACACTGAAAAAGTAGTTTATATCAACACACAAATAAGAGTATTTAATAATTATAGAATATTCATGTAGTTTAATAATAATATATAAATATAAACCCAAATGAAGGGGGGAATTTGAAATGTCCTGGAGTGTAAAGAAAAGGACAGTTTTAAGTCTATGATATTCTTAAATGTTTAAAACAAAACATTTTTAAATGAACGCGAGTTATTTTTATGATATAATCACAAAGTCTTTCTGTTTCTACCTCAAGGATAAGAATCCGGACCAAATCAAAGAAGACAATGATATCGAACAAGTAACTCCACGGAGCAAGGTCTTTGAAACGCTGATAGTCATTCATCTAGTCATGTAATTCTCCGCCTTTTATATAACTAGACGAGTCATGGTGTTCATATGAACCGGCCTTGGCCCAATACAGACAAATCCAATCAACATCCTCTTACATTACTTCCTTATAGATACATTTTAATATTATTATTCAAACTACGTTCAAGTCTTCCAAGTCGTCTCTTCCCTTCTCATTCGTGAGAATTATAAGATCAATGAGAAACTGTATCACTTTACTTGCTCGCTTAATTAAATTTTAAGTTGAAATGGTTTTAATGCAAACTGACTTTAAAATCAGCCCCTAATTAATTTTAAAATTGCATTACACAGAAAAGAAAAATATCTGGAAGGAGAGGGGGTGCTTTCAATTCATGTAGCGACAAGCCCAGGAGACCGCATTGCAGTTCTTGGGAATGGCAATATGAATTAAACTACTTCAACTCCCAGAATACTGACCACGCCTGCAGGTCGTATATTCTCACGAAACATATTCTGTTAAACAAATAAACTCTCTATGCAAACTTCAACCAAACACTTCAACCTACAAGCCGTCTCAGAGAAAAGAGACAGATGTAAAGTCAACAAACGTACGATGTCAAGATGTCGTTCCTGAACAAGTGTTCACAGGTATTACTCAACTGTCTAAAAACTTCGGTTAGGTTAGGTTAGGTTAGGTTAGGTTATCAAAAATAATAAAATAATAATCCCTGTACAATTCCAATGCAGATCCATTACAGGTTCCAATTATTTTCAATTACATTTACGCGTTAAACAGTTTGTATACTGGTTTTTAATATCTGAAAAAGATCCATATTAAAAAAAATTATGAACAAACGCACAATAATGTCGAATTAATGGAAAATGGCTACAAATGAACACATTGATGTCACACAACAATAAGTACACTCAAGTAATTTGCTACTGAGGACATTCGAAGACAACAGGTTAATGGCGTAGTAAAACAAAAGTTAAGTATGATTTGAGGTTCTCAGGGTAGTGAGTGCTAAGATGGCTGTCTTCGCCCTAATGATGGAGGCAGCAAGGACCTCTGAAACGTTGGTGGACATCTACCAGACTACACGGTGTAACAACCCTGAAGACAGCCATCTTCAGACTCACCGCCTTGAAAACCTAAAAATCCTATATTTTGAAACTGTATTCCCATCTGCGCCAAAAATATGTCCACAGAAAAGAAATTGGACATTCATGTTTCACGACGTGCATTATTCAGTAGCGGGCCGATTCGGCAAATTTTTCCCACTTCTTCCTTCTTAAGTCTAAAACACTCCCAGTCTGTGTTCTTCACTTGGTGGAAGAGACTACATTCCATGCGTGAAAGGTCAAAAGTTGATCATTTTAAAATATAAAATAAAATTTTAATGTGCAGTCTCTCATATGATTTCGTTTCTAGCTTTTATAAAGCCTTGATCGTTATAGGTTTACTAGCCCTTTCACAAAGCGGGATTAAATTTAAAAATGTAAACGTCAAAACAATTCTTGTATGTTAAGCGAAAAGTTAATCTCCACAGAGGAAATGTTAAAATCATCCATGTGACGAAGAACCATGCGTATAAGGAAGCTTCACGCACTTTTATACCCTGGGCAGGATGAAGCTTCACGGTCGATCACAGGAAGCTAAAGGGCAGAGGGAAAAATAAATACGACATCGCAAGACCCGAACCGGAAATCAAACATCGTTAAATGATTAGTGCCTGTTTAAAGTATCTGCACGAAGATAGCATATCCTAATTCAAGTCTATGAGTTATCCCGTATCGATAGGTAGATCTTAAATAACTTCATAACCACTTCCTTTCAAAAGACACAATTTTATAATACATGACAAAGCATCACTATTTTTTAATAAAATTAACAAATAGTAAATTAGTATGTCACTTCGAAGTTTAGGGTATACCGGCTGATGTAATCTCAACGTACGTAAATACCAATGTCTCCCACACTCTGTTTCGTGGAACCCGCAGGGCTATACGCAATAAGGGGTTCCGAAAAAAACAGTAATTCACTAATTGCTCTTTCAAATTACTAATATAACATTTTGTAACAGACAAACTCGTTGGGAAGTTCTAGCTTAGGCTATGTAATTGAAATGTACAATACGGTCGGAGAAAAGCCAAACGCGATTTAAACTGTACCTAAATTAACTGACTTTTCCTTCAAATATCTAATTTCGTTCCAGGAGTTAATAAACAATATTAAGCTGTTTCTCCACACGCCCAGCACCACTCTTATTATTAACCTTTTGAAACATGAAGTTAATCTAAATTATATCTAAAAATTCAATCCGTACTTCAAAGAAAACACAGCGCGTCTCCAGATAAAATGGTTAATGCTGTTTTAATAAATAATCGCTGTTTATTCTGACAGTTATACGAAACATATAAATATCTAAAAGGGTTACTGGATGTTAAATTAGGTGATAAATATAGTTACCACTGGGCTTTGAAGGGTTAATCAGATTTTTGAAGTGTACAAGCAAAAATAACCTTCCCACTAACAAATCAAAAATGCATTTTAAGCTACTAACTTGTATTGTTTCTAGCTTTCTGTTGGATTTCTTGTCTTAAGACCCACAAAAAACTAACCTCATTTTCATACCTCAGCTAATGTATGTAGGCACAAACTGTAGAGCACACTGCTTTGTTCTGTTCGTTACTTTTCGAAGTTTTTCTTCACGGTTCGTGCCACAGGAGAGTCACAGAATCGCTAAGGGTTCCATCGGTACTTTAAAAACCAAAAAGGTTTCGTGGTCACATCAGTTTGTAAAATACAGGTCTCTGCGGTTTTCATGATCATAACCAAACATAATTTGCATATGGATGATGTAACACCTGGAGTGGTCTACATAATGGCAACACCAGATGTCAGTCTGACAGGATATTGGCCTAACGAATAACAAATAGTCTTGCGCTAAGTTACGGAACCAGTTAGCTGCCTTTGACAAAGACAGCAGAACTATGACGCAGAATGACTTAATTTGACATGATTAAGTACAAGGCATATCCTTGGTTAAGCAGGATTGATTTATAACAAGAGCCTTGGATGACAATGAAGTGACTTGCTTTTGATATCAGTTCGGATAATCCTGACCTTTGGCAACGAAAACCAGCTGTGATTTTGATTTGGTTTGAGGTGTAGACGGAAAAATCCTTTCATGATTACAATGACAATGATATTTATCCAGCTTCAACGATTCTAGCATAAGTTAATTTCTATGAAAGTCAGTAATAATTTATGAAAGTCTAAAAATAAAATTTCGATCGAGTATTTTGTAAGTAAAAATTTACAACATTATGGACATAAAACCATGTAGGACATATTCTGAATGAAGTAGACTTGAAATGCATAAACAATTTCGAGAAGGAAGCGTCGTGGAAATCAGTAACTTAGAACATCGTAATCGGAGATAACATTAAGACGGATCTGTGAGGACGGCAGGTTAATGGATCGTGTCCAATGGCGAGCTTTGCTATTAACAGTGTTGAACCTTTGAGCTCTGCTGTCAGAAAGATACATAGTTAATCCTCTAAAGCCCACATGTAAATACATTTACCACCTACTTTAATATTCAGTAACTCTGCATTTGGCCCACAGAGTGTTTATGGATTTCGAAAGATTCTTAGAGTAAATGGTGATAATATCCATAAAAATATTAATCAACTTATCTTTGTAATGCTGAAGTGTCGTATTGCCTCTGAGGTAGGAACTGAATTTTTAAATATTTCGATGTGCTTCGGATTTGAAATAGACAAATGGCGTGATTATCATATCATCATCATCATCATCATCAATATGAGCTTTTACTGATGAGGACTTATGGACCTGTTTCAATTCAGAAGTACCAGTATGTTTGAAATTATAAACCCATTTCGACACTTATAGGACTCGTTGGACAGAGGAGTCAATCAGTAGCATAAAACAGAAAGACGCAGTCAATGTCGAACGGGGTTAAAAGTCGATCTGGTTCTTTCAACTTACGTTTTGAACGGCTCGAGTAGTAGATTTGCTGGACTTTACGGTTTTATCAACCTTCGACTTCTTGAACAGCCTCAAACTTCTAGGTGAACTAGTAGAACCTGCAATGAATAGAAACAAAGTTAAACAAATGAGCTTTAAGTTCAGTTTAAATTAGATCAATTGTATTTCTAATGTAACTTATTATTTCCGCTTACGAAAATCCAAAAATTATTTCGTTTTAATATGAAGAGATTTCACGACATTTATTCGTTTAGATTTCCAAATACAAAACTACACACACAGAAAACATAGTCAACGTTTCTTAATGATGTATATCATCTAAGAGTTAATAGAATGGCATAAGGAATAAAGTGTCTTAACATTTTATTTGGGGGTTAAATGACAATTAAAGTTTAAAATCTTTTTAAAAAAGAGGATGGAATGTTGCATTGTAATCTGACGTAAACTTAACCTTCCTGAACTTTACATACCAAACTAATATCGAAGCACATGACACACCTACTAAGGTCAATAAAACAGCTGAAGGAAATGTGATACCGGTAAACACAGAATGAGAGATTATAAATGCACAGAGAAACGCACAAGATTCAAGCCAAGGAATTTTGAGGCTGGTACAAGCAGTCGCCTGATGCGTAAATACAAACAGAAGACAATCACAGCTACAAAGCTAACCATATGACAAATACAATATTACATGGAGCCCACATATATTTTCCTTCGTAACGCGTTAAATACACAGCATAATTAATTCCACAAAGTATGGTTTTTCTTCAGAAGCTCCTAGTCGCTTATCTAATCAAGAAATTACCCGTCTTTCATGGATTCTAAAGGTTCATTACAGTGTTCATAATATCCCACAATCGGTCCTTATCCTAAGCCAGATAAATCCAATCTACAACCTCCCACTCTACCTCTTAAGATTCATTATAAATGTAATTAAAATAAGGTTTTGTACCTTAATGGGGTGAGCCTTTTTACTTAAGTTACACAGCGATGTTCTGGTAATATTTAACATCTTTTTGAGAGAACTTACGAAGCTCAATAAAAAACACGGACTAATGCAGAATTCATGATCAAATATTGTCAAGATTCGTTAAACAATTAAAAGGCAAAGTCGTCCCTGCTGCTTAATTAACCACCACGTCATGAAGGCGTATTGAGAATTAGAGGTATAGCTCCACTAATTCTTAGCCTCGACACCTTCGCTTGTTTAGAAGATAAAACATTCAGATGGCAAGACAGACATTACATTCTTTTGCACGGATTTACAACTCAACAACACCAGTTTTTGTACAAATACATAAAAAATACACAGCCAGATATTATGTGTCTCTGACCCTAATAAATCTGTCCATCCTCATGTTTAATTTCTGAAAACACAGAATTAATTCAGTTAACCTTTTAAAGCCAAGCGGTAACTTCATGTGCACAGCTTGCTTTAACAATAACAAACTCTGCATTTTTCCACAACGTTTATTTGTGAGTTTTGTATGATTTCCAGTGTAAACAGGGACTATTTCCTTAAACATCATTAACCAGTAGGTCTTTTTAATGGTGAAGTGTTGTGTTTTATTTGCGGTACGGACTGAATTCTTAATATTATTTCACGTGCTTCGGGTTAGAAGGTTTAACAGGATAAATAAACTGTACTAAAGACGCTTTACACGTTGGTTTCTAAATTTAACTACCTTTGCTTATAATTGTTTCACCAGGCTTTATTTATTTATTCTTGGAACGGTGACAGTGTCTCTGAGCTATAACCGTGAGATACCTCATTCGAATCTTGACAGAATCATAACCTAACCTGATTGTGGTTTCCATAGTTTTAATTCTCTCTATGCACAATGCATAATGGTGCTTCAAAACACATAATATCCTCTTTATTTTCTATACACCATACATAAACATTCACGCTAAACACCATCTTGAAGTTGATACTGTATATTAAATAACCCACGAAGCAACTAATGATCCCTTAACTTCATTTACATTGATTATTTTAGATAGCAACTTTTTTTTTACCTAAATCATGACATTAATACATGCATGTCACTCGAATAACACAGTAGATGACGCTAGTATTCGTGACTGACTGATAAAAAATAACAGAGCCATCTTGTTTCGTCCTTATCTCCAAACAGACTGCCACGCTACCTACAACATACACGTCTGAGGAGAACAGATGGCATGCGAAACTTACTTGGGAGTGGGGAGATAATTCTACAACAGAAGGCACATGTACAGAATTATAAGTTCACCTTTTGTTCTGCACGATCGTGAAATTTTGCCTCACACATTTAGTACAATATTTGAACCTAAGAGGGATTAAGAGCCAAAGGGTGGTGAAAATTGTACAATGAGGAGCCCCATACTTTGTACTCAGCACCAGGGTAAACAAATCAAGGATGATGAGATGGGTGGAGGTATGTAAGGAGCATGGGTAATATTAAGAATGCGCACAAAATTTTGGTTGGAAGGCCTGAAGGTAAGAGACCATTCGGAAGACCTAAGCGGAAATGAGAGGATAATATTAAAACTAATAGTAGGTAAATAAGTTTGGAGGATTTTTTTTTTGGATTAACCTGGCTCAGGATGAGGAAGATGGTAATGAATATTCGAATTTCATAAAAATCGGGTAATTTCTTAGGTAGATTAAATCACGAGCTCTTCAAAAACTGCTCCATGCAGTAACTCAAAGCACAAAAATAATCAATACCTGTCTGAATGACATAAAATATTAAGCTCATTATATAATTTGTGTTCTCTTTATGTGAGAGATCAAGTTTTACTCTCGTACTAAACAGCTTCGTATATTTTTAATCTTTACGATTTCAGAAATTAAACAAGAAGACAAAACGTTCTGGACCGCATGACAACAAGCCGAATCAAACCCTAGAAAATTGAATTATCATCGCAGCTCTCAAAAATTTTAAAATTATTTTTTATCCTCTAAATGTAAATACTGAAACCAGCTTTACTCGTAAACTTGTTCAAAACAGGAACGAATTCACTTCTCTGACATTCCGTTACACACAGGTTCTACTATTACAATAACACATTTGGTTTGTCGTTCGTAGGTCGACTCGTGTTCGACTATGAATGTCTAGTCCGACGTGGTGTCCGCACGCCA